TACTCTTTAATAATAATTGTTTTGAAAATGAAGATAACACATAAATAGAATAAATATTCAATGAAGAGAGATTTTATCTTAACGCATAAATAAGGGTAAAATTGACTAATCGTTTTCCTAATTAATATTTCTTAAGGGGCGTGTAAAAGAGAAACACGACAGATAATTTGATACACAGAGAGAGAGTAATAAGTATCCACTAAAAGTAGTATAAACTTTGAGTCCATTACTCAGATAGTCACTGAACTATGTGAAATTATTGAGTAAAGTCATTTTTCTTTTATTTGTAATAAGAAAGTCACTCAACTATTCTTATTGCACTCTCAATCAGATTTATTAATTTTTTCAGTAGAAAATGCTCACTTGGCAGTCCACACGTATTTTTGGACTACATAAAATAATTAACACCAAAATAAAATATAAAAATCCACCCATACACTTGTGGATTTGCACTAAGTATATTGTGATTGCATTGACCCATGGCTGGAAAGGCTCCGCATTTACACTATTAGTGTTATAAATAGAATTGTGTTTATGGTGAATGTCTATATTTGGAGAGATTCTAGGGTTCATTGTTTAGTGGCTAAGTCACCCTCTCCCTATAAATAGAGGGTTCTATTCTATTGTAATTCATCCAATATCAATAAGAATTCTCTCTCTCTCTACTTTTCTCTGCAATATTGTTCTTTTACTTTTATTGTTCTATAACACGTTATCAGCACGAGAAACATATACTTTTACGATTTCACTATAAACATATACTTTTATAAGTATTTGGCCTAATAAGCAAATAGACATCTGAACACGAGATTCTATTATGCTCCTCCGATTCCATGAGTTTTCATTCAAGCATCTATATATATTCAAAACCTGAATCCACTGAAGATATTATTATCAAGAAAATAGCACGAGACTCTATTCAATTGAGAAGAAGCTTTGGAATTGAGCATAATGATTGTCAATTGTTCCATGAACTTCCGTCATGATTAAATTCTAAATTTAAGGTAAGTATTTTACTTTATTTTTCTCTTTTAAATCCTTGAAATTCTATAATTTAATTTTATATACAAGCAAAGACAACAAAGTTTGATTATAACTCTAATGGAGCTTGTAAGAAATTATAACCACCTAAAGTGGTAAAATTTCTATGCCTTGCCATGATCAAATTCATGTATGATTGTGGGCAAAGAATTGAAAATCCGTCCCATTGAATTTGCTCCATTCTCATCCCCTTAAGAGAATGTGATAGCAATATGTGAAAAGTCTGAAAGAAGATAAAATTATTACCGTGAAGGTATCAATGGATGTGGACGTGGCAATAAACGAAATTATAATCGTCATCATTGTGATAATGAGAACAACAACGATTCTCAAAATAATCCTTCACTCCGTGAATGTAATATTCGTCATCGATTTGACATGAGATTTTATAAAGCACATATAGATGATTATGGTCCATTTATGATGTGAATGTGACAACATCTGATTTATGAATACATATTCATTCTTGGAAGAATATGAATGTGCTAGTGGTAGTGAATATACCACACTCACCTTTAAAATGAGGTTTGAGATGATATAAGAAAACAATGTCACTATTATGGCATGAATGGTCAATGGTCACGTACTTATTGCACGCCAAAATATTTTGGTAATGTGACTATTAAAGAATAACATTAATGCAAGAAACATATCTTGGATATAATTTTGACCATAACCATAATGGTATAACTTTCTCTTTAAAAGAGATATTCACCATATGGATGTTGATGAATATGTGATAGTACAAAATTAATTGAGAGCTCTAGAAGAGCCAATTATACTATTTTGGAGAAAATTGATTATCAATAAGACGGTGTGTTGTAGTAAGTCTCAAAGAAACTTATTGAGTTTCTAAAGTATTCGCGAAAGCGGTTGGTCATACTGAGACTATAAATAAAGGAAATATTTAATCTTCTATTACTACAACTTGTAGCGGCGTAATATGTATGTGAAAAGATACCCGCTTTATTCTTCAGTTTGTACTACACAAACAAAAGAATGCCACAATTAAGAGAAGTTTATTGATATAAAAACCCATATCATAATAAACTTGGAGTTTATTGATAATTGCACACGTCATGGTGTAAATCTGAAGTTTATCAATATTGATAATTTATTTAGTTGGCATAATTGGTTTAGCCATATCAATTTAAGTATGATGTGCAAAAATAAAAGAGAATTCACATGGGTAAATATTAAAGAACTAGAAAGCTCTTTCCGAATTCTCTTATGTTGCCTGTTCTCATTAATTAATTGACCAACTAAAATTGGGATTGAATCGCATGAATGCTGGAAATATCAAAGGTGAATATGGGCCCATTCATCTGCCATGTATACCACATAAGATGCATCTATGAGATGGTTACATGTGCGATTATTATTAACCTGCAACCTAGTGTTTGCGAGGTAACTTGCTCAATAATTTAATTTAGAGCATAATTTCCAGATTTTCTATTCAAGACAATTTATTTTGATAAGGCGGTTTACATCACAGTTGGTTTAGCAAAATGATTTATTAAGTGCCTCTACTTAATAGCTAAATATTTGCTTATGAGAACAAAGTTATCTATATCAGTTTGATATATGTTATATATCAAAGTATATTATTTTCTCCCCTCACAAGTGGTTCAGGGTCAGGAACCAAATAATTCTATCTTATTATTATTGATGTGCGGTGTATATTTTTATTAACACCATAAAGCACAAAGATGGGTTCTCAAAGTTGAGGTAACAAGTTAGTTTTTCTAACATGAGGGGGAGACATGATAACCAATTGAGAAAAAGTTACGTGGAATGAATTATCATTTGTACATCTAGATCCTCGAATAAGATAATATGAACTTGAAGTTCATAAAAGGATAATTCATTTGCAAAATATTGCAAAGCATGCCAGACGCATTTGCTGGTCCAAAGAAAGTAACTATATTCTCATTGCAAATGCTCCTATTAAGTCCTAGAAGGACAAAGTCTATGGCACGCTTGAAGCGTATAGACAAATCGGTTTCAAATAAACTTCTTGATAAAGAAGATGAGCAAATGATCTAAATGATCATAACAAAGGAGGCAAGTGATCTAGAAGATCACATGACATAACACTTCATAAAATCTCAGGAGAGATTCAGGTACCTGAAAATATAAATGAAGAGATCTCTATGTTATATCTTTATTAAAAATGTTGAAACCGATATAAAATGTTCGTTGACGACATCTATGATAGCGCTAAATATATATATGAGGATCTTAAGTCTGGAGAAACAATTTCAAATAGAATTAGTTTCATATGAAAGACATGTAGTTTTGAACATGTAGTTCAAACACTTGAAAGTATAAAGTCAATGGTATGTGCAATCAGTTTTCGATATCTTATAATATGTCTAGCATGACATGAAAATTTAATATGCATCTAAAGTCTATTATATGGCTTATATGACTTAACAATCCATGAAGGATTTAAGTTGCTTGAAGCATATACAATTCTTGATCTTGAAGTACCACTTCCTCAGTGCAATTTGTGCACAAATGTATCTTGCTATTACTATAAGCATGATAATGTGATAGCGAGAATTTTCAAGGTGCAACATATTCATTGGAGTTAATATGGCTGATTTATTCACTAAATCTCTCCCGATATCTACCTTCAAGAGGCTAGTGCACAAGATTGGGATGCGAAGGCTCAAAGATGTGAATTGATGCTCTCATCAGGGGGAGTTAATACCCGTTGTACTCTTTTTCCCTTACAAAGTTTTGTCCCACTGAGTTTTCCTTGCAAGGTTTTTAATGAGGCAACCAAAAGGCGTATTGTTAGATATGTGTACTCTTTTTCCTTCTCTAGAATTTTTTTTTTCCACTGAGTTTTATTTTAGTTAAGATTTTAACGAGGCACATTATCTGTTGAATAGACATTCAAGCGGGAGTGTTATAAATAGAATTGTATTTATGGTGAATGTCTATATTTAGAGAGATTCTAGGGTTCATTGCTTGGTGGCTAAGTTACCCTCTCCCTATAAATAGACGGTTTTATTCTATTATAATTCATCCAATATCAATAAGAATTCTCTCTCTACTTTTCTCTGCAATATTGTTTTTCTACTTTTATTGTTTTATAATAATTAGTGCAGTTTAGCCGGTTATGTTCTACTACCAAATAAGTACCAATTAACAAAACAGCTGAAACTCCATCATAAATCAGTACCTAATATATTTTTAGGTTATTAATCATGTTTTAGTGTAACAAATAATATACAAGGAGTTATATAAAAACTAAACTCATTTATCACATTACTAGAGACTAGAGTTATATATGCAAATCAGTAGGTGAAAGTGCCGCCGTACGGCCGTCCAGAGGCCGTCAACAACCCCATTCCGGCATATTGCGGTAGGTGAAAATCATTATGTGGAATAAGTAGGCGTTTGGACATAAGAATTGTAAAATTTTTTAAAAAAAAGTGATTTTTTTTAAGTGAAAATGGTATTTGAAATTAGAGTTGTGTTTGGACATGAATATTATTTTGGGTTGTTTGAAGTTTTGTGAGTGATCTGAGTGAAAATTTTGAAAAAAAGCTTTTTGAAAATTTTTAAATTTTCGAAAAATTCCAAAATGCATTTTCAAGTGAAAATTGAAAATTGAAAATTTTATGAATAAATAAACGCTTATTTCGAAAAAAAGGGAAATTTTATTGGGAAAAAAAAATTTCAACGGGGTCTAAGTCTACATTTTGAAAGGTCAACTTTGAGTACCCCCTCCCCCACCCTTCCCCACCATCTAACTATTGGACCCCATTCCCCTTTCAGAAAAACCACTTTCACCAACCAAACCTCTTCATATTCTCACATTTCTGATATCCCAAAGATAATAGAATTTTTTTTTTTCCATAAAACTGCCCCTAAACAACTTTAAATACCAATCAAGTCCTTCTCACCAACTCCCTCGTTTGGCTTCACGTCTTCACAACAACAGATACTCGTATTTATATTCAACCTTTGATAATTCATCTTCAGGACACCTAAAAGTCTAAATACTTTTATTTGCTCTTAGCGTATCCATTTTTTCAAACTCCTTTTGCCGATGGAGAAAGATACAAAACACGGCGATATAATTTTCCGATCAAAACTCCCTGATATATACATCCCTAATCACCTTCCTTTACATTCCTACTGTTTCGAAAACATTTCCGAGTTCAGTTCTCGTCCTTGTTTAATCAATGGAGCCAACAAACAAATTTATACGTATGCTGATGTTGAACTCAATTCAAGAAAAGTTGCAGCTGGCCTTCACAAGCAAGGGATTCAACAAAAAGATACAATCATGATCCTATTGCCTAACTCCCCAGAATTTGTGTTTGCTTTCATTGGTGCATCGTACCTTGGAGCTATTTCTACAATGGCCAATCCTTTGTTTACTCCTGCTGAGGTTGTGAAGCAAGCCAAGGCTTCTAGTGCTAAGATCATTGTCACACAAGCGTGTCATGTTAACAAAGTGAAAGATTATGCATTTGAGAATGATGTGAAGATCATATGCATCGACTCCGCCCCGGAGGGCTGTCTCCATTTCTCCGTGCTAACTCAGGCCGATGAGCACGATATTCCGGAGGTTAGTGAAAAATTCTGTGACCGGCCATCTCATTTAAAAGTTTAAGATATTAGCTAGGAAAGAACATTTTTAGTTAATTATATTATATTATGTCTCAAGAGGCACCTCAGGTGCGAGGTTGATTGGCCAAACACATTAAAATATTTTTGTTTTTAGGGTTACGGTGAAATTTGAACTCTGGATCTCTATTTGCTCTGATACTATGTTGAAAAGAACGTTTTTAGTTACTTAATTATAATATGTCTCAACAGATAGAAATCCAACCCGACGATGTGGTGGCGTTGCCGTACTCCTCCGGGACGACGGGATTACCTAAAGGAGTGATGTTGACGCACAAGGGACTTGTCACAAGCTTGGCACAACAAGTTGATGGTGAAAATCCGAATTTGTATATCCATAGCGAGGACGTGATGCTTTGTGTGTTGCCCTTATTTCATATCTATTCCCTCAACTCCGTTTTGCTTTGTGGATTAAGGGTTGGAGCAGCGATTTTGATTATGCAGAAATTTGATATTGTTCCGTTCTTGGAGTTGATACAAAGTTACAAGGTGACAATAGGGCCGTTTGTACCACCTATTGTTTTGGCCATTGCTAAGAGTCCTATGGTTGATGATTATGATCTTTCATCAGTAAGAACTGTCATGTCTGGGGCTGCACCATTAGGAAAGGAGCTTGAAGATACTGTTCGAGCCAAATTTCCTAATGCTAAACTTGGTCAGGTAAGATTCTCATTTCCTAGCCAAATCTTACCTATCTTTATAAGGGCAGCGTGGTGCACAAAGCATCTTGCATTTACGCAGAGTCCATCCATAGGGGTGTGATATAGATAGCTACCCTAATGCAAGCATTAGCGACTGCTTTCACGGCTCGAACCCGTGACCTAGAAGTCATACGGAGACAACTTTACCGTTGTTCCAAGGCTCCCTTTCAAAATCAAACCTATCTTGACTGGCGTTTTCGTCTTCATATAGTATTAGTTGATTTCCATGTTACTTAATCAAAAGTCAGATCTCAATGCACATGGTTGCTTAAATGCTGAATATTCTTACATTAATATAGAGATTAAGTATTTCACATGTAAGGCTTTTCGTCCAGATCACTAACTAGCACAACACGTCTTATGTTTTTCTTATTTTAGAATTTTCTAATATTTTCCTACACATTTCCTTGTGGTTGGTAAACGTCTAATCTCAAATTGCTGAGAAAATGCCATCAATTAGAAAATATTGCAAATAAAGCAACTGCACTTTTCTTAGAAATGTATACTAATAGCACTTGCCACATGGAAATGAATAATGATTGTACTTTTTTGTCCATATATATAATAATAATTTAAGACACATAAGATAGTGATTTCTCGACTCATATACAAAGGCACTTGGTTAATATTAGTAATTATCAAATACATGAAAAATAATATCGATTGATGTGATAATTGCTTTAAAATTTATAGGGTTATGGTATGACAGAAGCTGGACCAGTGTTGGCAATGTGCTTGGCATTTGCAAAAGAACCCTTTGAAATAAAATCAGGGGCATGTGGAACAGTTGTGAGAAATGCTGAAATGAAAATTGTGGATCCTGAAACTGGTAATTCTCTTCCCAGGAATCAATCTGGAGAAATTTGCATTAGAGGAGACCAAATCATGAAAGGTACGTATTACTATATTTAAATTAATAATTTAACTCATATATAGTAGCAGTGTAAAATAATTTATACGTATTAATAAAATTTAACATGTTATAGCAATTGTTGCGTACTCTTAAGTCCTTTAGAACGCGGGTATATTTATAAAATTAAACCTTTTTAATAAACCAACTTTTTGGATCGGCACATTTTCGGATTAATTTAATTAAGATTGATTAATTTTAAATTAGGCATTTGTCACTACCTCATGTCATATTCATATATATATATATATATATATATATATATATATATATATATATATATATATATATATATATATATATACCAACAAGCATAACTCCTTTTTAGTATATACCAACAAGCATTCCACTGTTAGGTGACAAAACCTAGTAACAAAAAAGAATACGACATTTATGAGTAAGAGAATATACGAACTACAGAAAAGTACACAAATACTATGTCAGAAACCTAGTGATATTCATGTATATTTATTTGCCTTTCTTTTTGGTATGTCTCTTTTCTTGAAATATATGGAACTGATCTCGTCCCTCAAAATTCTTGGGCAGTAGAGCTATAAACAACATAAAATAATGAAAACAAAATTACACTCCCTTTTTGAGGTTTATCGTAAATGTTGGTGGAGTTTTGAGTTTAATGAGTTGGAGGATTCAAATATTGGTCATTTTACGTGACTCGTCCCATTTGGTAAACCGTCAATTTTATTGTGAGTTTGACACCCATTATCTACTCCTTTTCCAATAGAAAATTGAAAAATAATATGTAACCTACATTCATCCACAAAAACTTTAAAGGGAACCAATATCTGACATCCACACATAGCTTTATCTTCTTGTAGTGCTCAACTCATTTCTCCTTGTTCTCATTTTAAAACGATACAATTATTAAATATTTATAAATATTTAATTGTGAACCCAGTTATTATTACATATTACTCTAAAATTACCATAAATCTCAAATCTTAGATTCGCGTCTGATGACACCCTTCATTCAAGGTGTCTCCACCATTGATTATAGATTTGGTGCAACTAATCCATGTGTATGGCACTACTTAATTACGACAATAAGCTCGAGCGTTTTAGGTATTCCTATTATTAAAGAGTCACAAGAGTTGAACTACGTGTGCCTACACGGTGCAAACTATAGGGTAGTATCGTAAAATAGGCTACCAAAAAAAAATAAAAAATGTAGACTACCATCTTTTACCTGCTGAAAATTTGTGGGCCAATAGCACAACATACCTGAGCACATGAACATGGATCTATTGACCCTTCCACTAAAAATATTCAATCACTTATCATGTACAATGGTGGATCTATTGATTTTTTTTCTCCTTTTTTGGCTCAATATCTTTACCTACCAATTCTAATGCTCAACCAAGTCATCAAAACTATTGCCTACATTAAATGAATCATTCTTTTAATTCTTTGTAGATCTTAGATTTAATGTAGTAAAATTGTTGATTAGGTAAGATATGATGATGCTTCAGCTTACCAGAGACATGATTCTTGATAGGAGGGTGTGAATGTCGAGAATTACGATAAATGGTTTAATAAATAGTCGATCACTTTTCTTTTCAGTACCAGTAGTATTAGTATAGTCTTGTATTTTCTTATTTGAAGATTTCTATTATTAATTGTTGTGTCTTTCTCTTTGATTTTTTACGATCGTACTGTTGTTACTGCTTTTTCTCTTTAGCATCTTTTTTTGAGCCGAGGATCTATCGGAAACAATCTTTTACCTTCTTAATTAGGGATAAGGTCTGCGTATACATTACTCTTCCCAGACCCCACTTATGATATTATACTGGACTTAATGTTGTTGTTGGTGTGAAATTAAAATTGTCAAACTAATTAATATTCTATACGCATGCAGGCTACCTGAATGATCCAGAGGCCACAGCAAGAACAATAGACAAAGAAGGATGGTTATATACAGGTGACATTGGCTACATTGATGATGACGACGAGCTTTTTATTGTGGATCGATTGAAGGAACTAATTAAATACAAAGGATTTCAAGTTGCACCTGCTGAGCTCGAAGCCCTCCTTCTCAACCATCCCAACATTTCTGATGCTGCTGTTGTTCCGTAAGTCTCACTAATTTTGTATTGTATTTTTTTTTTATGTGCTAAGTACTTAATAACATAGGTGGAATCAAGATTTGAGTTTATAGGTTTCAATGACAACCTCAAGATTAGTACAATAGTAACTTAGTTCACAGTCAAATATTTATTAGAAATAGAAGGCTTGAACAAAAACTACTGAATTGATCACGTGAATCACTGTAACTTATAGTCTAGGTTCGCCCCTGCTTATTAAGGCAAACATTTTAATGCAGCGACGACGTACTATTTAAATTCTGATAATCTCTGAACTGTTTCCATTCCACAGCATGAAAGACGAGCAAGCGGGAGAAGTTCCAGTGGCTTTTGTTGTTAGATCCAATGAATCCACCATTACCGAAGATGAAGTCAAGGATTTTATTTCAAAGCAGGTAAGTTTCATTACATTCATTTTCATTTTATAAATTCTTTTAATTTCATTTGACAAAAGAAAATGGGATTATTTCCTTCCTAAAAATAAATTAGCTCAAATACTGAGCTAATTTATTTTTATTTAGTCTTCAAGGTATAATCACTAAGAGGCCAAGTTATGAACTGGAGTATCATTTACTCCATTTCGAAATTTACTGGTCTCAAAAAAATTGGTAGAAATGACATCAGGTAGCCACTCTAAAGGGCTGCTATTTACGAATTAGCCAGTACGTCATGAATTTCAGTTTTTCAATTCAATTTTTTAGGACAAAAATATTCTGAGTTATCATGAAGTTAAGATTTTTAGTTTAAATTTTTAGGACAAATAAGTACCGGCTAACCTTTAAATATCATCCGTGAGAATAGCTATCTGTGCACTTTACCCAAAAAACTTTTATTCAGTAGAATTTCCTTTAATCTCATGTTAATAACTACTCTCTCCGTTCAAATTTACTTATCCATTGTACTAAAAATAAATGTCTACTTTTACTTGTCCAGTTTGGAAAACCAATACCATCTTATACCTATTTTACCTTTAGTTTTTCAATTATAATCTTTAAGGTTGACAAAAGTAAACTTGAACGGAGGGAATATTACGATTTAATCAGGTTCATTTTACTTATCCTAGATGAGTTAAAAAAGTTCATATTTTAAATGGCATTTCCAGGTGATATTTTATAAGAGGATAAAGCGGGTATTTTTCGTGGATGCTGTTCCTAAATCTCCATCTGGCAAAATCCTTCGAAAAGATTTGAGAGCTAAACTGGCTACTGGGCTTCCAAATTAATACTTTCAGCTTCAGCTTTAATAGTGGCAATAACTATAACCAGTTCGCCATTGAAGACAATTTATTTTTTATTAAAAAGTTACATAATATGTTCTTTGGATTGTACCTTCAACTACGTGCCTCTTCGGTCAGAATTAATTAACCGAATTGGCAAAAGGAGGAAAATGTATGTACATTTGACTGTAAGGACTTCAATTTTTTAAATGTCTTTTTGGTATTATTTATTCATATCTTGCATTTACTGGTGAAATTTTTAAGTTCTTTCCACCATAAACCCCCTTGAATGCATGCGTGTTTATTTACTCGAGTAGTAGATTAAAAGAACATTGGGGTAACTTTTTCCAATAGAAAATTTTCTCTCTAGGAAAATATTCTCCTGCTTCTCACTGCACTTTTCCAGAGTTAGGACGGATCAAAATCGAACCGTAATCGTTAACTTAATCGAATCGATGGCTTATTGGCTTATTGGTATCGGATTATCGGGGTAATGGTTGGTGAACGGATTGAGATTTTATAATTAACAGCTCAACGGTATGGGGGCGGATTACTCAATTTTCTTATCGGATAAACCGTTAACCCGTTAAGAATTTTTATTTTTATACTTTTACCCCTATATTAGTGAAATCATTGAAATTCCTTTTTATACCATTTTCTCCTTTGTCGAGTAGATTGAATTTTAAAAAGAAAAAAAACACTAGAATCATGTAACCTGGTATTATGCGATGTTATGTAAACATGAAAGCGTGGCGCATTCATGTCATATTTTAAAGTACCTAAATAATTCAAAATAACTTAGAGATAAAGTTCCAGTCCTTTCTATAGTTATTAGGAGTTTTTTTTTTATGTAGCATAATAGTCTTAATTTATAGGTGGAAATACTTCTTTTTTGATTCATTCGATAATCGAATACAAATTACAAAGTGTTAACAAATTCTATCATGTACCAAAAAATTAGGATTGTTCAAAAAAAATTATTTGATTTATCCGTTAAACCGCCCGATAACTTCTGATAATTATTAATCTGATACCACTCCGTCCGTTATCTTATTGGATGGCTAGCGGATTACTACATTTATAATACGATAATCGATAAGCCGAACCGTTAAGCGTAATTATCCGCTCGATCTGCCCGATAAGCACCCCTATCCAGAAGAATTGCTTGCAAAAACACCAATCTCCCATGCAAGATCTAAACCCCTTGCACCTTTTTTTTTTCAAAAGTCCACCATTGGTGGGTGTTAGGGTTCTGGCAGTAACCCCAATTCGTATATCATCAAAAAGAATAAGTACACGGAGGAGGACACAAACCACAAAATATTATGAAGAATGATATATCTCATCCTCCAGTATAAAAGCATCAAAAGAGTCTGCCTACTTTGGGAGATTTCATCCATTACTCTTTGAAATATGTGAACTTCACTAATAGGTGCTATACATATAGTTAGCACTACTATACAAAAGTCAGCTATATCTAGAAACATCATTAATAGCAAAATGGTTCTTCCTTGGTTTGAATCTAAAGTTTGGGAAACCAACTTGATCAAGTCTCAGCGAAGATCTCACCATGTCCGACAAAGAACTAGTGGTATCAAATGTGACCTTAACTCTTAAACTTTCCCCTAGATTAACAAGTTGATCTGCAACACATATACCTTTGTCCATACATATACCTTCTCTATATGTATGGACAAAAGTAAAATTACCCTTGCTAGAAATTTGAATAATCTGCTCAATGATATGATGTATCAGCTAAGGAGCTATAACACCCCGCACATTCGGATTAGGTATGAATGAGTTAAAGGAGTAGTAAGGTTATATTTTGGACATATTGTTGATACCCAATTTTTCCCTGTATTTTTTTTAAATATGCAAAATACCCTTAAAATAACCTATATAGGCATATATAAGTACATCCCAAGGTCCTATTATTTTTCCTTAGTTTTTCAAAGATTTTTAAATCAATTTACTGCCCTATTTTATCAAGAAAAATCCAATGATGGTCCCTAAAATTATTATTTTTGGTGATTCATTTATTGGATTCTTATGTTTGTACCAAAATATGGCTAAGATATTTTTTACACATTTTTATAAATTTATTTGGTATTTTTAAGGATAAAATTGCATAATTGCAATATTAGCCATTTTTAAGTTTAAATCCGTCTCATATTTATAAAATGGGATTTGATATTTTTAAATTAATAATTATTTATTATAAGACATTTTAGTACTTTTAATTTGTTTCCAGAAATTTGTTTATTATTTTTTATAAATTAAGAGGGAAAAAGAGGCTATTTAACTTATAGCCACATTTGGCCTAATTAAACCCAAGCCCCAACTCAAATTAGACCAATCCAATACCCAGCCCAATCCTAATTATCCTACCCGACCCACTTACCCCATCCAATTTGGACCATTGATCATTCAGATCAACGGTCCCCGTTTAACCTACCTAAATTAAACCAAACGACCCCCCAATACCCCTCATTTTTCCCTCACTCTTCTCTATCTCTCTAACCTCTGGTTCTCTCTAGAACCTTCCCCACCCCCTCCTCTCCGATGAACTCTGTTCATCTTCTCCGGTCACCCTCTAACCTAGATCTATGGTGGTTTCACCACCCACCAAGCCACCTATGGCTCCTCACGTTTGGTTGACTGAAGCTCCATGACTCGTCCATGAAGGGTTATGTCCAGACCTCTGTCGATTCGAGTTCCACGGCCATCTCTGGTCCCGTTCTGACAAGCTATGTCTATTTCGAAGCCTGGTCTCGACTCCTTTTGCTTAGATCCAAGCCTTTCTCGTCGTTTGGGTTCCTCTGAAAACCCTAGTTTTGAGATTTTTCTGATCTCTTTAGATCTGTTCCATATCCATGATTTCCTTAAGATTTTAAACGATTTTCCTGGCTTTTCTTTCAATAACTTCTTTCAAAATCATTTTTTTTCCGATCTAGGGTTTTTCTGAAAGTATTTAAATGTTTCTCTAACTTTCTTTTTTGTGTGTATTTGCCTCTATTGTGTTCTTGTATTTTTTCTTCTACCATGTTCTTGTATGCTTCTTCTACGGTGTTCTTGTATGCTCCTTCTACTGTATTTTCTTATACTGTGTTCTTGCATGCTTTTTCTACTGTATTTTCCTCTACTGTATTCTTGTGTGTTACTCCTACTGTATCTTCTTTTACTATGTTCTTAAGTGTTTCTTATTAAGTTCCACATACTGAGTTCTGGTTAAGCTTCTTCTAAAAAACGTCTTAATATGCTTCTCCTACTGTTCTTATCAATTTTCCATTATGTTTCAAATTAGTTTCTTCTACTCTGTTTCCTTTGAGCTCTTCTACTGTGTTCTACATGTTACTTTTCTATCATGTTTCTCATGAGTTTCTGTTGCTGAAAGAAACGTGTTAGAAGTTTCAGTTCTTTTTTGAGACCTCTGAACCTGTTTCGATTTAATTACTTGCCCTCTCATCTTTTCACTCGATTAACGGTGGAAACCCTAGAATTTGGGGGTTCTTCCAAGTTTGGCTATGTGATTTGCCTAAGCTAGGGTTTTATTTCAAAACCCCAACTCTTCAGACCAATTTCGAGTCTCTGAACTGAGTTAGGACATCCTTGTCTTTCATACTACTCTGACTTTTGCTAAACTCTCCTAAACTCTTTTACACTGGATTCTTCTACTGATTTTACAATGACACGACATCTTTTTCATGCTTGACATGTCTGTATGCTCTTTATATGTGATGAACTTCCCTCTAAAATGGCTTTCGAATTTGTGATTAGTTCAGACTCCCTTCTGAATAGGTCTGATTAATTTTCTTTCCTTGTTTGCTGATTTTCCCTGTGACTCGACTTAAGTTAAAAACCTTTCTCAGCTTTTCTGACTTGGTTTATTCATACAAAATCTCTGACCTCTGATTTACTGGCAAAACTTCTATGTATTTACCCCTAATCGCCTACTTTGCACAAAGTGCTTATTTTAATTTCTTTCCTCAAATAGTTTTTACCCGTTTCTGAATTCCTTAATTAAGGGAAGTCTTGTGTGATTGATTCTTAATTGATATTCTGTTCCTTAACTACTTTCTTGCCTTATTTCTGCCTGATTGTCACACTATAAAGGCACGACCCTTTCACAAACTCAAGGGAATTCACAATCCTTCTGAACTCATACTCACACACAATAGTGTTCTCTTCTTATCTGCACTGTGGCCTGTTTACAAGACCTACTGCTTTTCTCTATTTGTTTCTTTGAAACTGGTATGTCCTGATTTAAGCTTCAGCATCACAACAATGTTTTTGTTTACAGCTTGTGTATCCATGTCTACTTACTGTTCCTGTAGAGTTCAATATTTAAATTAGCATGTTGATTTCTTTCTGCCTGTTTCTGTTATGAATCCCTATTCCCTACCCCCTTTATGTGTTTGAGCTATGGTTTAAGACATGGCAATATGTAAGTTGTTGTCCATGAATTAAACTTGATCCTTTGGGGATCCCAGCCTCTAAACAATGTGTTCTAACAGGCTTATGGGTATGCTAGCACTCCCTATTGCTGGGTATGCCCACAACCTGCTCTTGCTTCTTTCAACTTCCCTATTTCCCCTGCACCCCTATGTGTATTTATTTGTAACTGTTTCCCTTTCCTTTTCCCCCTTTCAGCACTCTATTTCTGCACTTGCACTCTCTCTTAGTCCCTAAGTTCTGCCCCCCTCTTGTGAGCTTTGCCTTGGGACCTTGAGTTCCCTCTGAACTTGGACACTTGAGGGCTGGCCCTTCCACACTGCACTATGTCTTAATCTGGTGATACATTTGGGTGTGAGCACTGCCCGGAGTCCATATGAGACTCTTAGGGAACTCTGACACATCCAAATGGGAGAAAGGCTTTGGATCATGATCTCATTGGAGTTGGTTTACTTCATATTTCAGACAGGAAGTCTGAATCAGGCTCTCCTTGGTTGTACTTTTAATTTCTGATGTATTCTTTTATTTTTCTGGGCTGTAATAATTTGTAATAAACTCTTGGGGATGGCTAGTGAAAAAGGGAGGGATAACTATGTATGCAAAGGGTAGATATCCTGCCTATAGGTACTTTCTGAATTTCTGCACTCTCATATAGATATCCTGTCTATAGGTACTTTCTGAATTTCTGCACTCTCATATAGATATCCTGCCTATAGGTTATTTCTGAATTTCTGCATTCTCTCATATAGATACCATGTCTGTAGGAATTCTGCATTTCTCAT